CCTCCTCGTTTTGCTTTTTTTTTTAATAACTCCGGATGCACATGCTGTAAATGATACAATACATTTGTCCTTGTTCCGTTCTCGTAAGAAAGTAATTTGTTTCCAGGGCATATCAATCATTTCGCCTTTTCCAAAGAGTCATCTTTCTCAAAGTAATTCCAGACTGGATTTGAAGTAGGAGCAGTCATTCTAATCTTGAAAGCAGCAGAAACTTTTCTAAATAGTTCTGTTCTGTGCAGGGGCGGATCTAGGATTTTCCCGAGAGGGGGGGGGGCGGATTTTCAAAAAAAAAATCGAAAATTTTGTCGACCGTTTTTTTAGGTCGACCAAATTGATTTTCTGAGATCTCCCAAAGCACTACAAAGAATCGTTTTTGGCCAAAATTTCTGCGCCACCGACAAAATTTCGAAAAAAAACAGGCCAAAAAAGGCCTTTTTAGCCAATTTTTGGAAAATTTTGACCAAAAAATTGAGTTTTTTCGGCGCGCACTTCCGCTCAAAATTAGAATATATTGGCGCCAAAGGAGCCTTTAGAAAAATTTTAGTGTCCGTCACCAAAAATGAATATCTCAAAATAGTACAAAGGGAAACCCTTTGGGTCGGCAGGAGGACGAATCCCTGAGGGAGGGGGGTGCGTCCACCCCTAAATCCGCCCCTGGTTCTTCATTACGTAATATAGACAATACGAAGCTAAAGTGCAGCAACGAAAATGAAATTGATAATCTGTTAGTATGAATTAGTGTGTAGAAAAATGAAGTTCTTATTTCAGAGTTGATATTTTGCGTCGTTTATTTTTGCTTCTGATTGATTGTGACACATTTCAATCATCAAGTTTCATCAACCGAAGCTCAAGAAGCACTGGATGAATTTCAGGGATTTGGTAACGTCATTGATTTTCAATCAACTTCGATTAATCGCACATACTTATACCCTTGATTTGCGTGTTGATTTCATCAATACAAACTTTTAAGTGTTTTTCTCATCTTGAAAGTTTGTAAAACCAATTGGAATAAAGCGTCTTGAATCAAAATTCGTACATTCAAAGTTTTTTAAGGATGTATACTAAAAAAAATTGTTTTGTTGCAAGTTACCTATCTTGAAACAAATGACGCTCAGCCAGAAAATATAACCTTCTGTTGCTAAATTTAAGGTTTGTTGCAAAAATGCAAAGACTTGTTATTAACGTTTTGTTGCTTCTTAGTTATGTCGACTGATTCTATTTATTAATTTCTGGGTTTTCCAAACAATCAAACTAAGGAAACTTGATGCAAGGCTAATAATTTGAAAACTCTAACTTTAAGAATGTATAAAAAACATATTTCACTTTTTCGGAAAAACTTTTTTGCTGGTTTTGTCATGTATGCATTCGCCTGCTTTATAAAAGAACATAAACAAAAATTGGTAAAAAAGTGAGAGGTAAAAAATTTTGTCGCTAAAGTCTACGCTGACACAATTTAGATCAAAAAATCAAAAAAAACTAACCATTTTTTGCAAAAGTTTATGCAAAATTAGGACTACCTTAATTGTTTAGAAAAAATAATCGCACATTCAAATCATAACGAAAAACCAATCAAATTTATTTAGGAAGTTGAGACAAAAATTTGAACGGCAAAAAAGTTGTTTTTATCATTTTAAGGTATTTGCAATTGTGTTTTTGATTTTTCAGGTTTCCACAATCTAAAAACTCCACTCAACTAAATTGGACCAAAACTTATTATTGCAATTATTTTGATTGTTAGAGTATTCATTCAAATTTCTTCTCTTTAAGAACTTCGTTTTTTTGGTTTGTTCAAAAACCATCTTTCTTGGACATTTTTAAAGAGCTCCTTCAATAACTTTTTTTCACTAGCTTAACTTTTTCATTACTATGATAGAAGTTTTATAATCAACCAAAGTTGAGGATTTATTTCAAAACGCTCATAATCATACAGTCAAAACTGCTTAATTTAGGATTTTTAAAAAAAAAAATTTGCTCTGCTGAAAGATCTCTAGCCAATAGTTCTGTCACTTGACAAAATCGGAGATGATCTATAAAAAAAAACCTTTTCCTGCCAAATCTAACAACCAGTTGAAGCAATGGAAATTTTTTGCTGTTTAAAAAATTTTCCACAGATACCAAAGTCGAGAATTTTGTTTTAAATGAGCCAAAACTAGATCAAAACTATAATTTTTGAACGAAGTTACTAAAAATTTTTATGCTGTTGACTTTTTACGATGATCAGTATATATTACAATCACCCTAGTTATTTTTTTTTTTCAAGATAGCTTTAATTTTTTTAAATGAAAATTCTTAGTAAAAAGTTCGTAAAATTGCATTGTGGATATAAGAAATGCCGGTTTTTAATGATTGGCAAGACTGGGGTCAAGTTTTGTTTATGATGGTTAAGAATTCTATTTATTGCTGCACGACTGGGCAAGGCTGATTAAACTGCTTTCTCATCTGTTACTTCCTGGAGACAATTGGCAATCATACTACTATTGACAGGTACAATTCGCTGCTTGTCTTCTTTTTTCAGCTGATGCCCGATCTGGTTTGCCTCAGTTTTTTCATGTTTTACATCGTGGCTGTGGTCAATTTTGGTTGATAACAGTTCATTTCATGTTGTGACGGCGAGCTTGCGGCGTTTGTGTGAACTGTATCCTGCTCCTCACGTAATTTGACTCAAAATTTTTATGTTGGATGTTTCGGAACGAACTGGTAAAACAATGACGCGGAATGAAAGAATAGCCGTACTTCATTCTGTTTTAATGGCGCTAAGTGTAGAATATTGTCAATTTTTGGCGTGTCATTGCCAAAAATTATGACTTCTTGGGCTCAAACTAAACTATTTTCAATTAAAGTATTTGTTATTTCAAAACCAGACCACTCTACATTAGCACTTGCTCGTCCTTATTTCTACAATCACCATAGTTTTTTTTTCAAGATAGCTTTGTTTTTTTTAATGAAAATTCTTAGTAAAAAGCTCGTAAAATTGCATTGTGGATATAAGAAATGCCGGTTTCTAATGATTGGCAAGACTGGGGTCAAGTTTTGTTTATGATGGTTAAGAATTCTATTTATTGCTGCACGACTGGGCAAGGCTGATTAAACTGCTTTCTCATCTGTTACTTCCTGGAGACAATTGGCAATCATACTACTATTGACAGGTACAATTCGCTGCTTGTCTTCTTTTTTCAGCTGATGCCCGATCTGGTTTGCCTCAGTTTTTTCAGGTTTTACATCGTGGCTGTGGTCATTTTTGGTTGATAACAGTTCATTTCATGTTGTGACGGCGAGCTTGCGGCGTTTGTGTGAACTGTATCCTGCTCCTCACGTAATTTGACTCAAAATACTTATGTTGGATGTTTCGGAACAAACTGGTAAAACAATGACGCGGAATGAAAGAATAGCCGTACTTCATTCTGTTTTAATGGCGCTAAGTGTAGAATATTGTCAATTTTTGGCGTGTCATTGCCAAAAATTATGGTTTCTTGGGCTCAAACTAAACTATTTTCAATTGAAGTATTTGTTATTTCAAAACCAGACCACTCTACATTAGCACTTGCTCGTCCTTATTTCTAACATCAAAAAATCAAGTAAAAGTGTTAAGTATGGGACAAAACGGCATAGGACAAATTGTCATGTGGGGCAAGTTGGCATATGACAATTCGCCATGAAGGACAAGTTAGTATAGGACAAGATTTTATAGGGCTAATTGACTTGAGGCAAACAGTCCTGACACCATTTTAGTAGCGCAAAATTACACTTAACAAAGAAATGATGAATAGAAAAGATTGATAAACTGTAACAAAATGTAGCCTTCGAGTTTATCAGAGGGTCATCCTTCTATGACCCAGACTGCCATGAAAAACTGGATTTTTTTTTAGATTGTCGTATCAAAATGAGAGACAATCAAAGTTTTGTTTGGGATGGGAACAATCTGTGTTGCTTGCTCTGTAACTTTTTCTTCCTGTTTTTCAACAAAACATAGTTCACTGCTTTCAAAACAACCAATCAATTGATCAGAGCGGGGTAATAAAGACCGCTAAGAATCCAATACATGAGAAGAAAGGTTGGGTCGAAAAAACTGTCACAAAAATGAGCTACAAGCAAGCTGCTATTTTGAATTCAGCCAAGAGTTCGAAAACATGTAGCCTGCGAACTATGTATAAAATATTTCAAGTGAGACTTGACAGTAAAATCAAGCAAAATGGAAAAATACACAGCGGCAAAGCTAAGCTTCGCACCACTTAGAAAAAATAAGGCCTTTAAGCCAACTTAATGCAGGCTGAAACTCATCAAATAAAAAAAAACGAACAGAAAAAAAAACCAAAAAAAACATGTTATGAAAAATTATAATTTATAGGAAGATTTTAAGCACTTTGTGCGATCCAGAGGGGAGCATGAAAATTATATTTTAATTGGAACGCCTCAAAAAAGGCCACTAAGCCGATAAGATATGAGCCGAAATCATTTTGGCTGAACAGTTTTTAAGCAAAAAAATATATACAAAGTCAGTTTTAAATTTAACAAATTACATAAAAGTATCAAAAACACTTTAGATTACAAAAAATGGTCACAGCACAAAAAAAGGTTAAAAAAAATATAGAAACTAAGTCGACTAAATATAAGCAGACAACCGAAGGCCGATGTTCTTTTGATACTAAACCTTTTGGATTAAAAAAAAACTGGTGCTGACCGCTTTCGAGCTAAGGTTTTTAGCCGTTTATTTGTTTTAGTAACCGCAAGCGTGATCAGAGAAGTCGTCAGTTGTCATGCCATTAGCTCGGAAGTTTTGTTGACAAGTATCATTTTGAAGCACGATTGAAAAAAAAAAACATTTTTTTTGGTTGAACGTTGAATGGTACGGTGTTCATCTGGAAAGTCTGTCTTTCAATTTTTCGAACTAATTATGGCAAGTCGGAATGAAAAAAAGAATTTGTTTTTTCGTTTTTCAGATAGAAAGTTTGTACTTTCAACGGTCAAAACTAGGAAGCGGAAGTTTTCAGCTAATGGATAAATAAACTTCAATGTGTTAATTAGTGGAGTGAAATCTTGCCTCAGAGTGTTTTGCAAATAAATTTTATAATAACAATAGCAATAATTATATTTAAGTTTGTAGACCTCTTTAACTGCAATGAATCGAGTACATCTTTCTTATACCATTCCACACCCAAGTATATTGATACACATACATTAGTCTTTTCACTTTCACATTTTTCGAGATATTTTATCATCTTAAGGTTAATTATTTTTTATAGGGGAGGGTTGACGGATTTTTGATTCATTGCAGTTGCGAGTCATCAATTCGATTCAGTTAAAAACGTCAGTTGAATGTCGAATTTTGCTCACGGCCGTTTAAATCTCGTTCTTTTTTATTCAAGCCTCGTCTCGTCTCGTGTCGTGTAATGTGTCGTCTATTCCTCCTCTCGCTCCTCTCCGTTCTTGATGATCTTGACGAATGAGGCGTAGTCTAGTCCGTCATCGTAGAGACACGAATCAGCTCCCTTGAACATGTCCTCAACCTCTTCCGGACTGAATCGATCCCCCATCGAGGTCAGCAGACGCTTCATCCTTAAAACAAAAATCAATTTCAACGAGATGGAAAAATCACCGCAACACCAGAGCCATATTTTTTATGGTTGAATAAATGTACACGAGACAAAAACTTATATGTTGAATAGACACGTACATATAGTTTCATCAATTTACTAAATAATCCGTGGCAATTACTAGTGGAACATGTTAACGTCGCTGTGAGCTGCAATTTTATCCCATCAAAGTTAAGGAGGCTTTTATTTTTTTAATATATTTTAAACCCTTTTGAAACAATCAATTTGTCGTTGAAAATAGGGACGATCGGACACATCTCAACTGATGACCGGTTTAGATAGGTAGAAACAGGAACGATTGGTCGCCTCTAAAGCCCACCTCGTGTACTAACTACTAATATAAGCACTAACTACAACCCCTCCCCCTGTACTATCTAATAAAACCACGGTATACTAACTTGTCTTCTGAGATGCGTCCAGTGGCCTCTTCATCTAGCAGTTTGAATGCATTCAGAATACTCTCCTCGGGGTCAGTGCCACTCAGTCTCTCCCCGAACAGTGTGAGGAACATGGTGAAGGAGATAGGTCCACTGGCCTCCTTGACCATACTGGACACATCACTGGAGGAGACATTCTTGCCCAGAGACTGCCACGTGGCGGCGATGTCCGACTCAGAGATGGTCTGGTCCTTGTCCACGTCGATGATCCCAAAAGCCTGAAATAATTAAAAGCACAATTCTGGATTAGCTTCAAAACAATTTTTCTAAGTGTTCGTGCCGAGAAAAACTGGTCTGAACATGTTCGCTTTCGGACGAGATTAGACGAATAGAGAAGTTGGATAAGAGGCCGACTTCCCACAATGTGTTTATTCAGGCTAATTCATTCGCCCTTCAAAAAGTAATCGGCAATAGAGATAAACATGGAGACAATTTTTTTTTCTATGTTAAGTAAATCATTTCGAAATTGATATTTTTTAAAAATCATTCTGGTGGAAACATTCTGTGCTCAGCAACCGGCTCTCGTTGTTTATTATGAGTTTATTACAAATTAGCAATAAACAACATTCCACTAATTTACACAGAAACAAAGCTTCCTTTCTCAAACACAAGCGAGAAAACGACAAAAAGCAGTAAAATAAAAAAGACATCAATGCCTCGAATTAGAAAAACGTTTGCCGTGTCGGATTCCACGTGCAACCCAGAGCTTAGAAAGATCACGTTTTCGCATCTACGCCAAGAGCCATTGAACTTTTCCTAACACTAGCCACGAAAAAAAAACAGATACAGATGCTTATGAATTGCCAACGCTATGCAGCAAACACTGCTCCTATTATTAATTAAATTATTGCTAAATGCGGCATTGAAACTCCGACCAGTAGATTAGGAATCTCATGTCCTTCACCCTGTTCCATGGTTGCTTGAATAATCGATTGAATGACCAAAGAAACGATTGGTTTTTTATTAGCCCCCTGCCCAGCTCGCATCATTCAACTTTGGGCCTTTTTTCAATTGGGGAGAGAGATGTCATCAATTTTGCCGCAGCCGATCCCACCTTGAAGAGGTGGATGACATTGGGACCCCTCTAACCGTGACGAAAGCGGGATTCGAACCCACGACCTTTGTGTGAAACATAACTCACTCGGCCACGGCAACAAAAGTATTTTTTTAAAAGAACATGCTTTGTTATTTCAACTGCTTCAGATAGTGATTATTGCAAAAGTTTCACCAAATGAGAGCTTTTAACCTCGACTTTGGTTGAAAAAAAGAAGGTTTGTTCTAATACACTACGCTTGTTAGCTCCCATGAGTAATTAAAGAGACTACATGCATTTCAAAAAATCATAACCTCTTTCTCAGGTTGAGGTAACAAATCTTCGCCCAAAAAACAACACAAAAACTGCAGGTAAATCTTAGATAGGTTCACAATGAAAGTTAACAACGGAAAAGAACAGCTCATATATCTCCGTTTCTCGCGTATAAATGGTCTTAGCATACGGACATAAACTTATGAACTTAAGAGCAATCGCGGTTATGAAATTAAGAGCCAAAATGTAGAAGAAGCAATGTTTAAAACGGTATTTTCACATCACAGCATTTATGTTTTTTTAACGGGAAAATTTGTTGAAGCGTAGAGATGTTCTGCATTTTTGTAACAGCAATTATTCCTTCCTTTTCCGTGGTAGGGGTCCAACTACGAGATGCTAGAAAGGACCTCCGGGTTCTATTAGTCGTTTGTGGAGTTTATGAGAAACAATGTGCGATGTTCAATTCTTAAAACTAGAGAGACCGCCTAATACATCCTCATTCGACCTCATTCTAATGACCTCATACTACATACATCTATTCTGAAACTAACTTAATTAAGAAAAAAATGTGTTTTTAGAGTGTTTTTCTTGCTCCCCAAAAGTTTTGACTACTGTTACATTCTATTGACAAAGAAAGAAACATTTAATCGTTGAGATAAGAAAAATTGAACACTAAATTTTCCCCAGTAAAACTAAACTTTGTTGTGGCTCAATTTTAAGCATCTTAAACAATGTTCAATATATACAATTCATAGGACTTAAATTAGACACCACGCTCGATCCCCAACGAGTTTTTTTTGAGGTACCGAAAATTGAGCGGAGAAAATCACACTAAGCCAGAGTAGCTCCTTCCCACTCCTTCGAGAGTGGTCGATGCCAAAACAATTGGATCCATGGCCATGCAAATTGAAGCCATGCAAATTCTTTGGTTCGATTTTTTTTTGCATGAAAAGAATAATCCAAACTTCTGTCCCATTTTTGCTGTTTCAACAATGAAACCTCAACATCAAACATTCAAGCCAAAAACCTACAACTTGATCAAAACTTAAATTAAAATTGATTCAAAAAAGCTCTTGAGTATTAGTTCAAATGCTTAACCTTTTCTGCACTAACTAGCATTTCTAACTAGCGTCTAACGCACCTCCGGTACTTCAGACAGATTAGTGATAAAGTTGCTGATAAAACATTTTAAAAAATAACGAAATGAATGCAACCACAATATATGAGGAATCCAACATAGCTTTAGATTTCAAAATTTGAACTTCATGGTTTTTTAAACACAAATAGTCAAAACTCGAACTACTGGGTTTCAGAAGTATTTTTAACTCATTAACAAAGATTCATTTTCAAAAACATCAAATTTATAAATAGGATTCAAATACAGCTTAATTAATTATAAAATATCAGACTCTTTTTTCTTAATTTATTGGCAAGTTTAATGGAAAAAATTTGAAATGTCACAAGAAAACCAAATTGAAAAAGGCGAAGTTTTTTAGATCTTAAGTTTTTTGAAAAATTTTAAAAAAAGTAGAAAAACGGCATATCTCCGAAGCTAAGATGTTTTGAGCAATCAAACTTGGACGTAGGATCTGCAACCTATACGCGTACCCAGAAACCACCCCACAATAGAGTTGGGAATTTCAAACTATGAAAAGATCTATTTTAATTCATTTTTGATTAAACTTTATTTCAAACTTAAGGAAAATAATCTCTGACATCAAGCTGGAAAGTCGAACAAAATTTCCTAGCCATTGCAAAATACAATTTTGTTTAAACTGACAAATTCTTTCGTTAAACATGCAAAAACAATAGATAAAAAGCTTAAACATTTCGAGATAGTGAAGCACGCATTTAAATATATAATAGATTAATGCTGAAATTTTACGTGATCAAACTGTCCCATCTGTTTTTTAAAACATTAGGCTCATCAAGAGATGATTTATTAGATGACTAAGAATTTTTCAAGCAACAAAAGAAAAATACACCAGCAGATATTAACGAACATAGCCAGTAGCACAGAATGTTCAAATAGCGATTAAAGCGAGGAAAAAAACAGACAAAACATGGAAAATCATAAAAATCCACTTAGATTTTTTTCAATAAAGGTCAATTGAATTAAATACATCTGCTAAATTAGAGATACTAATAACTTAAGCAATCAACCTCTTTTTGAGATAAATCTCTCGCTGAGATAAATATTTCGATTTTTGTTTTAGGAATTCAAATCACGGCTGAAAGAGCATTAATATAACAACAGAATTGGGCGTATTTGAGCATTGTGAAGGCACTCAAAAGTGCTAAAAAAGCACAAGCTATATCATAGTTCATTCTCACGCCGTGATGTGATCGGAACAACAAAATCGCCTCTTACTGTGCATGTAGCATAGGTCTTATCACAAAACGAATTGTAGAAAATTAAACCCAAAAAGACACTAAAAATTCACATGACGAAAAATTATCTAACTTTTTAAAAAAAATTTATTGTGTATAAAATACGTCTCAATGATATCAAAATTCTTTATAATCAAAATTAACTGAAAAATTTGGGAAATTACGTTATTACCGATTAGGGAACGCCGACAGATGGCAAAATTTTCTGAGAAAACTGTCACCACAACACAATTGTTGTTTCAATGTTATTGAACCAATCTTATTTTTTCAGCTACACAAGGCAACAATGCATGTAAGCTATGGTTTACAAAATTAAATATAGCCATCAGACAATTAGTAAAGTATCAATAAACACACACACACACACACACAAAAGACGAATTGAACGATGTTTTTTTATTCAACTTTCGTCTTTTAAAGAAAAAATTTAAGTCACTAAAGCTTTTTGAACTTCAAACAAAAATAACAATTGACCATTTTTGGTTGAAATATAGCCAACAGACAGTTGAAAATAGTCAAGGAACGCAAGTAAACAGAAAAAAAACTGACTTGTTCTTTGAAAAAATCTCAATTTTAGAGATTCCAAGAAAAAATATGTGACTTTTCAGCTCTTAGAGATTCTTGAACGATTTATGATTGATTTTTTACTTTTTGATAAAGCAAAATACTTTTTTGATTAAACTAACACAATTTAAATTCGTCACTTTTAAACTTTCGCCGTTTGAACTTAAAACACATAAGCGAACCGGAGCTACGCGAAAATTCCGGTACAATTAAAAATTTGCATTACAACAAATCAATTTGTTGAAAAATGAAGCTGACAAAATTACGTGAAAAAAGTCGAAAATAACTATATCTACAAAAATTTTAAAACTTTGTCAAGTGTTGACTACGTTTATTACTCTTACTAAAAGTAATCCCCTCAGAGTTGCTAATTACAAACATTAGAACAATTATAAAATTACAATTCTAGGAGCCCATCTAAAGCTGGAGCTATCGGTTTATTTTTTCCTGAAGTTTTGCTACTGATGCAGGATGGATTGGGTGAAATCAAAATTTTGGCTTCACACAAAACCTCAATTGTTTCTCTTATAAAAAAGGAGTGAACATTTTTAAAATTGGAACTTTCATTCAGACAAACTTTAAAGCGGGTAGTTTTCGAGAAAAGCGGGTGGGTAGTTTCGAGAAAAACTAAAATGCTTCAGAAAACGGTCAAAAAATCTAATTTTTGAAGGCCATACATTTTTGGGTTAAAAAAATTGCGCGGGTAGCATATGCACGGTAATTTCTCACAGCCCATTTTTATTGCACCCAAAACTTTTCAGGTTAGGAAGGGCAGTTTTCTATTTTAATTCATTTTGATTAAACTTTATTTCAAACTTAAGGAAAATAATCTCTCACATCAAGCTGGAAAGTCGAACAAAATTTCCTAGCCATTGCAAAATACAATTTTGTTTAAACTGACAAATTCTTTCGTTAAACATGCAAAAACAATAGATAAAAAGCTTAAACATTTCGAGATAGTGAAGCACGCATTTAAATATATAATAGATTAATGCTGAAATTTTACGTGATCAAACTGTCCCATCTGTTTTTTAAAACATTAGGCTCATCAAGAGATGATTTATTAGATGACTAAGAATTTTTCAAGCAACAAAAGAAAAATACACCAGCAGATATTAACGAACATAGCCAGTAGCACAGAATGTTCAAATAGCGATTAAAGCGAGGAAAAAAACAGACAAAACATGGAAAATCATAAAAATCCACTTGGATTTTTTTATCAATAAAGGTCAATTGAATTAAATACATCTGCTAAATTAGAGATACTAATAACTTAAGCGATCAACCTCTTTTTGAGATAAATCTCTCGCTGAGATAAATATTTCGATTTTTGTTTTAGGAATTCAAATCACGGCTGAAAGAGCATTAATATAACAACAGATTTGGGCGTATTTGAGCATTGTGAAGGCACTCAAAAGTGCTAAAAAAGCACAAGCTATATCATAGTTCATTCTCACGCCGTGATGTGATCGGAACAACAAAATCGCCTCTTACTGTGCATGTAGCATAGGTCTTATCACAAAACGAATTGTAGAAAATTAAACCCAAAAAGACACTAAAAATTCACATGACGAAAAATTATATAACTTTTTTAAAAAAATTTATTGTGTATAAAATACGTCTCAATGATATCAAAAATCTTTATAATCAAAATTAACTGAAAAATTTGGGAAATTACGTTATTACCGATTAGGGAACGCCGACAGATGGCAAAATTTTCTGAGAAAACTGTCACCACAACACAATTGTTGTTTCAATGTTATTGAACCAATCTTATTTTTTCAGCTACACAAGGCAACAATTCATGTAAGCTATGGTTTACAAAATTAAATATACCCATCAGACAATTAGTAAAGTATCAATAAACAGACACACACACACACACACAAAAGACGAATTGAACGATGTTTTTTTATTCAACTTTCGTCTTTTAAAGAAAAAATTTAAATCACTAAAGCTTTTTGAACTTCAAACAAAAATAACAATTGACCATTTTTGGTTGAAATATAGCCAACAGACAGTTGAAAATAGTCAAGGAACGCAAGTAAACAGAAAAAAACTGACTTGTTCTTTGAAAAAATCTCAATTTTAGAGATTCCAAGAAAAAATATGTGACTTTTCAGCTCTTAGAGATTCTTGAACGATTTATGATTGATTTTTTACTTTTTGATAAAGCAAAATACTTTTTTGATTAAATTAGCACAATTTAAATTCGTCACTTTTAAACTTTCGCCGTTTGAACTTAAAACACATAAGCGAACCGGAGCTACGCGAAAATTCCGGTACAATTAAAAAATTGCATTACAACAAATCAATTTGTTGAAAAATGAAGCTGACAAAATTACGTGAAAAAAGTCGAAAATAACTATATCTACAAAAATTTTAAAACTTTGTCAAGTGTTGACTACGTTTATTACTCTTACTAAAAGTAATCCACTCAGAGTTGCTAATTACAAACATTAGAACAATTATAAAATTACAATTCTAGGAGCCCATCTAAAGCTGGAGCTATCGGTTTATTTTTTCCTGAAGTTTTGCTACTGATGCAGGATGAATTGGGTGAAATCAAAATTTTGGCTTCACACAAAACCTCAATTGTTTCTCTTATAAAAAAGGAGTGAACATTTTTAAAATTGGAACTTTCATTCAGACAAACTTTAAAGCGGGTAGTTTTCGAGAAAAGCGGGTGGGTAGTTTCGAGAAAAACTAAAATGCTTCAGAAAACGGTCAAAAAATCTAATTTTTGAAGGCCATACATTTTTGGGTTAAAAAAATTGCGCGGGTAGCATATGCACGGTAATTTCTCACAGCCCATTTTTATTGCACCCAAAACTTTTCAGGTTAGGAAGGGCAGTTTTCGAGACAAGACAAAAAGTTTCAAAATACTGACTAAAACTTAAAATTTGACTATTCCGAGAAAGATAACTTTTTGGTAAAAAGTTTGGGTTTTGCGACATAAAAAAGATTATCTGCACAAATCTCGAATTTCCAGTTTGATTTCGTACTTGAAAAAATTATTCTTGTGAGAAAATTTCGTCGTTGAATCTCATTTATGACCATTTTCAAATAAGTTTTGGTTACAAACCACTTTCGTTACTTCGGTATGCATAGTTTTGCACAGCCGAACATTTTGCACAGCAGAATTAATTTTTTTTCCGCTAGGAAACCTAAAAATTAAAACAGACTTTTAGATATATAGGTAATTGGAGAGCCTTTCTTCTAACAACTGAATGTGAAATAAATCAAAAGTCAAACCACGTAGATCAAATTTGGGTGAACAAATTTTCCTAAAAAAAACGAAAAAACTCGATGCGACCTATATTGACGTTTATTGACACTTAAGAAGGGAGTTTAGAAAGACGCCGCAAGGTTGATCTGCAAAATAATACTATGTTCGGCTGTGCAAAATTATTCATACTGAATTAACAAGTGGTTTGAAACCAAAAACTATTTGAAAATGGTCATAAATGGGATTGAACGACAAAATTTCCTCACACGAATAACTTTTTGAAGTCCGAAATCATATAATCAAACTTGAAACTCGGGATTTTGTGCAGATACCTACACTATGTCGATTGAACTCGAACTTAGTTTTCGTTAAAACCAGGGCCAGATCTGGTATTCTTCGAGGTGGGGCATATATATTTATTTTAAATGTTTAGAAATTTTCCAAAACACTTGCAAGACCTATATTTTGCCAAAGTTTTCTGCGGCGCAGGGGATTTAAAAAAACAGCAAGAAGCGACGTTTTAGGACTCTTTTCGAAGCTTTTCTGCACCGCAGGGGATTTTTAAAAAACGGGCAAAAGCGAAGTTTTAGGGTTCTATTTGGAAGCTTATTTCTTCGCGGGATTTCCCCTCAAACTTCGTGTACATTGGCGCCGAAGGTGCTTTTGGGAAAATTTAAGGTTCGGTCGGCCAAAAATACATGCTGTAAAGTAGTACAACAGGGGGACCCTTTAGGAGGTCAAATCACTGAGCGGATCGTCCACTATTGCTTAGAACCTCCTTCTTTTACACATTTCCGTTGGAATGGATGCAGGACAGGAAATAGGCAAAACTTAAATGCATGCCTGCAAAAACATAGAAAAGGACATAAAAACAAATTTAACAAGAAAATGCGTCCTTGATGTTGATATTCTTCCAACGTACAGCGTTTTAATCAGCAAAAAAGTATTCAGCTACAGACAGCAGTTTTTGAGATGAAGTATTGACAATTTGATTATCTAGAGGACAATTATGAAGTCTATACGGGGCTGAAATTAAGCTTTGAATACAATTAAAAATTTGAACTAAAAAAACGAAACGACCATTTGGAAGATAAAACAATTGCTTTCAAAAGAAAAGGTTTAAGTCTCAGCAAAACTGCACGGGCAAACCAGCTTCTTACAAATCACGAGCCCATCAATTGATCTAAGAAACCCCATCACTATCATCATCATTAGGCTGCTTAACCACCTTTTTTGGAACTCAAATGTGTGTTTAGTTTTTTAGCACGTATATCTCAAGTCATTTCGGATTTCGGATCATTTTTATACTTTTCGGTTCCTTCTCTTAAAATAACTTCAAAGCCCTAGTTTGTGCATTGCTGATCTTGTTACCATCACAGGCACATGTGTTAGGTAAAACTCTACCCCCCCCCCCCCACAACTCTCATCCTCAACAAAAAACAACTAAAAAATTTAAGGAAAGCTACAAGTCGCAGTTTTAAACTTAGTTTAAAACGCGGCATGGACAACTATTGAACAATTAGAACATGAAACATGAAGATGGTTTTTAAGAGGCGCTGACTGACCTCCTTGAACTCCTGGATCTGTTTCTGGTCGAACATGGCGAACACGTTGGAGGAGGCCCTCTCCACCTTCTTCTTTCCACCCTTAGCCTTGGATGCCTGAAACACATCTGCACTCACCCACAAACAGTCAGATACACAAACCAGCATATGGAAAAAAAACTGTCATTACATGATTTGGACACACCTATGGTTAAAATGAGCTGAGTTATCATGATCAACATTTTAAATTACCAGTAACCTTGATATTATCAGGAATGTGAAATTATTTTGGAAGGTATGCGTCTCAGCCACAAACTGATATATTGAGTCCAAAATTATTGAAAGGGGGAAGGGGGGGGGGGTAGTTATGAGAAGTATGATAATTGATTGCATATTTAATTTACTCAGAGCTTTGTGAAAAAAAAAATGCAAAAAAGGAAAATAGCCCTGAAACCTTAAAAAAAAATAGATAATCTCATATCAAGTTTTTACCCATAAAAAGTCAAACCTGTGATACTTTTTTGTTAGGATATGGCAACAAAAATTAGGAAAAATCTAATCGATAGCACTGCTATGACTTACCATTAGTGCTAGTTGGTAGTAGTTTTTGTTGGAACTTCGGTGTAATCTATCTAGAGAGCGTTAACTGTAGCAGTGGAACTAAATGGCGGCAGCGGGTATGTCCAAAATGAAACCCACAAGGAAACCAAAACACACCAGAATACAGATCAAATGTGAGCCAAAATGGAACAGATTCCAACCAACCAACACAACGCAATGGGTAAAATAGCCAAAACGTAAAACCAAATATTCAAAGACTGGGTAAACCCAAACTTTTCGATCTTCTAATTCCAAGCCCGCCAGTTAAAGTTAACGCTTCATACTTAAACCGACTCAGAACTTCTAGCTTATGCCCACTAGCAAAGTTTTCAGCTTAGAACAGTGCCTGAAACTGTTAACTTTTATCCCTCGTTGTATGAAACTTCACTGGTGTTTTGGCTTCATTCACTCTATATTTAGGCATGAAACTGGAAGCTGTGTCGTTCTATTTGCCAGATAGGAGTGATAACACGCCTGTGCGTTTGTACATGGAAAATGCGACCAGTTTCGAAATATCTAGAGCTTCAACGAACTTGGGCTATTTTGTTATTGCTTGGTAACTCTATTCCTTAAATCATGTAAGCACACCTATACAATTTGGTCACAGTTTTAGGAGTAAATTATGAATATGGAAAACTGAGCAGATTTAAACAGAGTTCAATTTACCGCAATAACTTCATTCACTTTTATTTGGTAATATTCTTATCAGTTGCTCAGCTATAGAAGTTGTCTACATGCACGAGCAAAATGAAAAGTGGAACCAAACTTTACAGACCTCAAGCCTGTTAACAGTAAATAATGACACCAAACTATTCGAGAAATCATTCAGAAATGTAATCGATTTCTCATAACTTTGTAACATAAACACAGAACTCCACTTATTGGGCAATTCTGCCATTTCAACATACGAGCAAAAGACAACATGTACTGTATTTGAACTGGTCTCTTGTTCGCGTTTCAAAAAATGAAGGGTAAGATCGGAACCGGTTTTGCATGTGTACCATTTACTGGCTTGGTTAAACCCAAATAAAGACATGTTCAACCCAAGTCTCAGAACAAGTTACTTCCTGTAAATTCTAAGAACTAAGAAGAAAACTGTTAAAACATGATTTGATTATATGAAACAATAAACTTGAACAAGAATAAACCAAAGTTATCAGAGTCTGGCAAAGGCGTAAAATATTCCGTATGAGGAGCCAAAGCAGTTCCGCAGCCGAGAAGTTATCTGACAAAGGCTTGAACCCGAAACCAGAAAGTGTGCGTCGGCTATCGAAAGATTTTAGAAACGCTTTTAGGAATTATTGAAATATAATGAAAACGTTTTTAATGTCTCACCCTGTTCACGATTACGATGGCCGTTTTGCTGCTTCCGGTTTTTAGGTGTTTTAAAGCGTTTCAAATTATGCATTTTAGCCGAAGGTTGTATTAGGTCTCTAGGAAAAGAACAGAAAGTCGCCTAAGACCTCTCAAGAGTCTCGAGAAAGGCACTTTGTCTCTTCAGTATATTGACAGTTTTTCAACAACTGAGCGAGAAGAGTTTCGAAAACTGTAACTATCGTCATCAGTCAGTGGTTTGTGAAGTTTTGGGGTCCACCATCGAACACCAGTGGGGTTGAAAACACAACGATGGTAATGATAAAGGGCGTTTGGTGATTAAATACCACGCGCCACCCCCCTCCAACTCAGCAGTACCCAAAATTTAGTCGACTTAGTTGCATTAAAAGCATAGAGTAAACATGCATTAGGCCTAATAAATTAAAATTAAACAGTTTCATAGCAGGAAATCGATCGTATAAAAATTTCTGCAACAAAGGCAAACGTTGTTGTTTCAAATAGTGCATGTAATCTGTAAAATGTCGATGAATCATTTATAATACAAAACATTATATGGAAACCTTTTAAATAAAGTGGTTCATTAGTAAATGGATTACACTGTGGAACCTGATCTAAACTATATTTTATGATTGGATAAATTAAATGTTTTACCAATGTAAAGTATTTAATATTAACCAATCATGATCCATCTAACTAACAACCCACTTATTTGTAAGTGCTGAAGTTACTTGTAATTTCAGCACCAGAGAGATTTGAATTTAACTTAGAAATTAGTTGGACTCTCCCGAGCACTTCAGCAGCCGCAATAAACCAGTATACCCTAGATCTATTGAGCCTAGCAGAGACTAGTTAAACAACCTGAGACTAGATAGTATAAGAGTAAGATTAGGATCGGTATTAGACTAAGAAGTTGCACGAATCTATCCGGCCGAAAATAAGATAGCGTGACGAGCAGACGGTGTACCCTATCCGAAATTACTCTATGAGTTATACACCCCAGTCCTAACTCATCTGGTGCGACCATAAGTCTCGAACAAGACCTTACTAGATTAGAATTAACCAAAATTAGATTAGAAATTAGACAAAAACATTTACAAAATGTTATACGACAATAATTTAATTGAAATGTCTCTCCGACTCAATAGATCAGAGCCAATATTCCGAACCACAATAGAACTACCCGGAATTGGAAGAAGACATCGAACCAAAGACGACATACGACAAAGTAGAAACTTGCCGTATAGTTATATGATAGTTCGGCAAAAGCCAGAACAAACTTTTATATTTCGAATACTACTTGCAATGAATTTAGATTTCCATTTGCAAACATAAAACCTCGAAGTAAATCTTCAAAATCATTTCAGGCGCTAAACAAATTAATATTATACAATAACGATTGATAAAAAGATCTAAGATCGTTTTCCTAAAACTCTGCAGTATTATACAAAACATGTTTGAAGAATATTTATTGGAAAATAAAAATAAAAATTAGTAGCATGACAATAAATGGTTAGTAATCATAAATCATCCTGTTGTTCCAGCTTCATCACCTAAAACATAACAGCAATCATAAACCCACTAATATCATTAAAACACTAAATCTTTCCTTTACACAAATTTAAAACTTTATTAAAATTTAAAGTCACTTAATTTAAAATCAGATCATCAAGGCTTATCCTTGGATCTTAAATCATTTTCTACTTAATTAAATTTTAAATTTGATCATCAAGGCTTATCCTTGGATCAAACAGAACAACTTTGTTCTCCCCCACCCACTTAATTAGTGTCTAACGACCTCAAACGTCGATTCACTACCCAACCCTTTCTAAAAACCCAAGACTAATAGAAATTTTTAAACAAAACTAATCATTCAAATTAAGATAAACAGTGAAGAACTTCGGTTATTCATCCTTCACTTGACCCCTCCTCTTACCAGACCCAGGATAAATCTTAGACTTAGTAAGTTTAAAATAGTATCTAACGAACTACTCGCGTTCTAATTATACCTGAACCTTGTGGATCGATTTACTATTCTCCAACCCTTGAACACAATCACTACCCCTAAGTAAGATTAAGTAAGTTAACACCTTAGCTTATACTAGTCACGAGAAAGTAAAAATCATTCTTCGGAATCGATATACTTTTCTCTCCAACCCTGAACAATTAGACCCAGGTTAAGCTAACCAAAAAATCGTAAGAACTAACAGTTTAAGTCAATAGAAATCATTTAACAACCTTTTGCATCCGTCATTCTAAACCTTATGTCATTTAAAAACCTAGGAAATAAACAAACAATCATTTTACACAATTGTGAAATAGATAACAAAAAATACGACCTTGTAATCACACCTCATACACAAACAGTTGGATACATTCGAACAAAACGACAAACACTAAAGAGAAAAATAATAACTAAACAAAGACAAATAACACGAAAAAGATTTTCAAAAAATCGAAACGCATTTTCAGAATCAGAAACCAACAGTTTAGACGAACTTTACAAACTAAAAGAATCAATAGATAAAAATTGCCCACAACACGATCAATTATATTTTTCTGACTCAGAAACAACTTCAAATTCATCACAAAGAGGAAAAAGAAGAATAAAAAAGCAGTATAAACACAAACCAGTACATTTATACAATTGGAATCAACCAATTCGACACATTAATAATTATATATTAACAGTCATCGAACGAAAAAATGAGTTCAACGCACACCCCAGGTGACGAAACTCCAGATGATGATGAAATCTTTCCTTTTATAGTAGATGCAGATACTGATAGAGGACAACACATATTTTGTCAAAATTTACTCGTAAATTTATTTGAACCCGGAATCAGTCCATGTAAAACAGAGTTCCCCGATGTAAAAATCAAAAGACAAATCATAGATCACTATCTAAAAGATATATGCAACATAACACAACAGTATGGAATCTACTCTATAGAATTCACTTCCCCAAACCATAATAATAGAACATATACTATTCAAACAGACGACCTTGATTTAGAATTTTCAAAAGTTTTTTCAGAATATATAAAAAGCATCCAATACCATAACTCACAAAGAGCAAACTCCATTTTCACCAATGAAGTTTTCGCACTAATATATAGTTATATTTCGATATTAGAAAATGAACTCCCATTAACAAATGTCTCACCGACAGAAACATCTAAACATTTAAGAGTACGACATGAAATCACACTACTCTCTAGTTATTTAAACATTATTAAAGAAAATTTCACGAAAGACGACGTTTCACAACATACCAAACACGATTTACAAAAAATTTTAGCATGGTTCATAATAGATTATTTCACACACAATATTGATTTAATTGCACAAGCAAGAAAAAATTTTAGACCCCAAAATTCGAACGATGATACCGCTATCACAGAACAATCAGATTATGTTTGGGACCCCGAATGGTCTCATCCAGCATTTATAAGCTTCCCACAATCAATCTCAAGTCAAGCAATAAGTACAATATCTTACATAAGAGATTATGTAAGAGTAATACCATTAACAATTGATGCAACACCATTAAACCATAATACATTTTTACCCGATACACAAAATAATAGTTTAAACTCTACAGTCATACACAATGAAAACCTCAATGGAACTAGGAATCTTACTCAACAAGATATCCAGACACCATCACACTTCATAAATGAAGAAATTGTACACACAACAACTACACAACAAAGTATTTCACCAATACGCCCAAATTTAACAACACCAAGAAATACAAATCCTTCACAAACACAGGTAACCTTACAATCAACCGTTAAACCTTCGGTTGCCCCTAAATATTCACATATGGATTACCAAACATACAA